GTTTCATAAGCACAAGGTTCTGGAATTGAGAATTAGTCAATATACTTCCCTTGAAACCAGTGGTTGCAACACAAGAATTCTTAACATTCAGTCTTTAAATCACTGAGCACATCTATTGTCTTCACCATCTAGAAATATTCATTCAACCTCAAAATTTTATAACAGTTTCAGTTCCATTTAGAAATAGCCAACCTTTACAGCAGGCAGATGTAAGTATACAATCATGTTTAACACAAACTTCACCAGAATTTCAAAACCATTTGGAATATAACACAATACATTTTTTGTGGTTGATTAGTTAAGGAAACATTCATGCAAAGGGAAACATTCAGAGATTACAAAAGTCACAAAACATCAGGATTTAAAGTATTTTGAACAAAGGATCAGATGAATTAATCCTTTAATGGTCAAACCAAAAGGTTTGAAACGCAAGATCCAAAACTAGTGAGGTGGACTTGTATTTATTCAGAGGTATGGTACACAAAGCCATATCCATGAATAAAGTTTTAAAAGCTAGATTATTTTTATTTCTCCCCCTCACCAAACTCACACAGCTGGTTAGCAGAATTATTCCACTTGTATCAAACACTTGTGACAAATTTCAAAATAGTTTTAATAATGAAGTAAAAGTTTCAACAAAACAAATTATTTATGCTGCAAAATATAAAAATTGCCACTGCTGTTTTTTAGTGCATAATAGTGGGAAGGAAAGGAGTCCCTGCAGACTTTACTCCGTTAGTCATAGTCGACTATAGGGGTTGGAGCTAATCTCTCATTTCAAGGGCTTGTTGACCCAGTGCTGCTCAAAGACATTTCTATGATCATGTGGCCAGCATGACATCGCAGGGCATTATTTCCTCCCCACCAAAGTGGTACCTATTTATCTACTTGCACTTGCATGCTTTCGAACTGCTAGGTAGGCAGGAGCTAGGCGAAGATGGGAGCTCACCCATTGCACAATGCTCGGGTCTCGAACCTGGGCTGTGGGCTTTCCAGTCGACAAGCCCAGTGTCTTAACTGCTGAGCCATCGCACTATCCCATAATAGTGAGCAGCAGATATATTTTCATGTGAAGATGCTATCTAAAAAACAAGACCCCTATACATACAGAGTCTTATAGCAAATTAAAATAGCAATCACAGTAATACACATCTATTTTTTTCCTTTGTATGTTGTCAATTATCACCATGTTGCCTTCAAATTTATTAGAGAGGATTTTTAAGAGCTCTGTAGAAGGGAAATTAAAATGGATGGAAGTCTTAGGTAATATGGCTCTTGAAGTTATACTGGCCTTGCATTTCCAATATGCAGGAATGGGGAAAGAGGAATCTTCATGAAATAAAAATTCTCTAGCTTTATTATAGATGATTGAAAAGGGTACATGAAATTATGTCATGCAAGCTTTTTATTATATTGCATATTCAGATGCATTCTGCCCTGAGGCCAATGCAATTAATTGCTTTTTTTAATTTTATACACAGGATTATTAAAAAAAAAAAAAAAAAGTAAAATGCCAGAAATTTTCTGAATACTCTGTCTCATTTATCTTTAACAGATAGAAAACTGGAGAAAAAGCTGAAGAACAAAACATGATTGTTAAGACAAGATATAAGGAGGGAAATCACTGTGCTTTTAATGTACTCAGCACTTGGAACATTAAAACAAATATTTCATAAAGAAGGAAAAATAAAATGGAATTGCTGTATAAATCATGGAATAAAAGAACCAATTTCAGAATCATATGTACTTTGTTAGAGATTAGATAGCAACTTGAGGCTTTATTGGCTTTACTGATAAAAGGATAATATTAGACCCTAACAATAAAAGATTCACTCCTCCCCAGTTGTGCAGTTAGGCTTAGTCCTATGTTATTAATTCCACTAAAATTCAATTAAGCAAAAAAAAAAAAAAGTTGGGTAGAGTATAATCATGTTTAGAAAATACCCCCTTTTGGACTTTTTCATTGCTAAAAGAAAAAGAATGAATAACTGTGATTTTTTTTTTAATTTAAAAGGCCTTCTGAATACCGTTATTTTCTTTGTAATATTCTGTCATTTTTCTCATTTAGTTTGAGGAATGTCTAGATCTTGACTTTTGAGCAATTCATCACGTGACATAAAAATCTGGATATTTCTTTTTTTTTAATACACTAATTCACCACCGCTATAGACAGGAAAAGAAGTGAAGCTGTACAAAAATCCACATCTAACCTGATTGTTGTTGGATGTTTCCATGTCCAGGTAAGCCAATTTAAATGTGTGTACATATGTGCAAAATGCATAGCAGACTCTCTCCCCTCATCATTCTTCCTATTGTGAATGTACTGTGCATATTCTTTCTCATCTGTTTTTAGATTGAAATGGGAAAATGTATGCTTCTCTGTCTCTGGACTAGTCCCATACTTTTGATATTCAAATGTTTAAAATTATCCATCAAAATTTAAAAAAAGAAAGGCTTGGGAGACATGGCTGACTATACTGTATATTCCAGTATTTTGAATATTCTGGACATTTCATGAAGATAATAGAGGTGTTGTTTCCAGCTATGAAGTATAACCTATATTAAAAAAGAACCTGAAATTTTAGCATAGTTACTCAGGTATGAGCCTACAATCTGTACAGCAGTAAGTGAAATTTAGATCCAAACAATTCCTTTTTTTTTTTTTACTTTCCAGCACTTTTCCTGAAGTCAACATTCATAAGACTGCAGCCTGAAATTATTATTATTTTTTGCAAAATATAGTACCAAAAATGGCAAGAATGAGATTTCCACTGTAGCATAGCATATGTTGTAAGACCTATATAGTCGCAGCTCAGTTACACAGACAGTTTGATCTAACAGATATTCTGAGGTATACATTAGGTCAGTTGAAACCATTTGTTAATAGAATACAAATCAAAATGAAGGTATGATCTAATCGTTTCTAAGCACTTTTAAGGCCTTTTGATTTCACTGGCTAAGAAATCATGTGCTTCTCTCTTGCAAAACCATATGCATAAATTAATTTGCATTATCCACAAGCAAAACCACGATGAAACTCTCCATAGGACTTTTTTTTCATTGTTCAGCAATATTATCTGCACCTTCTGCTCCTGGATGAAGATCCCACCAGTTGGAAAACAACATTATTGAGTTTAGGATGACAGTTAAAGTGAGATGAATGGTTGAAGTTCCTGGCACTCTTGAGGAACACTCAATTCAGGCAGATTGATGGCTAACGGTCAATGTAACCCAATGTAAAGTTGGCAACGGCAACCCTAGGAGCTCCTGAAATATTCCCTTGCTAGATATGAATATGAATATGAAGCATTGAAATGTTAAGTATAGCACAAGATAAGCAACATGGAAAAACATTAAACGAGAACCATTAGCTCCTACGGTCCTAGCAATGGCTATACATGATTTAGACTGTCGCATAGAGCTCATTTAAACTCAATGTATTTCCATCTAGTCAATTCCCTATCACACTAATTGTCCCTAGGACACTGGAGTTTCAAGTTTGTGGATTTCATTGGTAACTTAAACCACTGTCTCTTGACAAAACTTCAACTGTTCCACATTACATTAATTGCTGATTAGGCTTATCCTGTTTTTAGCACCTTGTTTTTCAATGGTATTTATTATTAGGCACAAAGATGACCACTTAAACTTCATGGTTTCCTTGGCTGAAGATCCCCCCACCCCTTCCTTCTTTCCGTGTTTTGGTATGTATTCTAAGAAGGAGCATTTTCTTTAATATTCAGGGGGATTGATGTCAAGTCATTCCAGCTGATCTGGTATCTTTCAGAATGGATAATTTCCCCAGATATCATACAATTTCTGTCATGTAATTCATATCAGCACGGCAGAGATGGAACCAAGAGAACTGGATCTACTCATGTCTTCCCCATTATAATGTATTAAGGCTATCTGACTCAGAATAAGAATTCCACTAACAGGAGAAATTGGTTAACAGTATCACTGAGTGACCCAGCCAAAAACCCAAACTAATAACTTGAAATCTTGCAAGTAAGCCATCTTGCTTCTAAGCATTGTGCAAAATAATGTAATTATCCTTCATTTTCTTTCATACCCAGCATTTCTCAAATTTATTGGGAAAATTCTTGAATGAAGAATGCCAAGCAATGCAGGAACAACCTGTGTACCCTGACCTGAGTTATTTGTTATGGAATGGGCTAGAATAAAAACTGCTGACAGTTTAGACAATCCCTTAAATCTATGTTCTTCGATTCAAAATATCGATCCCATTTCCTTTGCTTAATTCCCCACCAAATGCACAAATTTTGATCATCTGATATCCCACCACCATTTGGTTTTTTACCAAAGGAAGGCCCTAGTGTCTGATAATACTGGATTTGGGAGTAAAGTGAAACGTATCCTGCATTTTTCAATTATCATAAAATACAGTATGTTTACTTCAAGTTCATTTGAATTTTTTTGGTCTGGATACCAAACAGTAAAACTGAAAAAAGCACCAAGTAATTAGCTTGCCCAGAAAAAAAAGGGAAAAGATCCTTAAAACAAAACGATACCCTGAAACACAAAAATAAGCACAAGGAAACAGTTATGCATATATTATTCAATAAAACCCTTTTTCAGGCTTAAATCTGGTTGAAGGTATAAAGGAACCAGCAGCTAATACAGTAATGTATAAAACAACTGTGTAAACAATACCAGTGCAGCAGAGTTCTGTAGTACCAGTCAAAAGACACAGTTCAGAGAAAATTAGGCATGCCAGAATTCTCTTGAAATCAATGCAATTTAAGTGCTTCACTGTGTGCCTATTTATTTTGATGCAATTTTGGCACACCCAACTTCCTCTGCAATTCCCCCCCCAACACATTCATTTCAATGTATCTTCTACAATGTTGTGCAATAAAACAAACAAAACACCAGGCTGCATTTTGCCCAAGGCGAGCTATCTCCAAATAATATATATACACATTTTTAAAAATGTTTAAAAATAATAAAAACAAATCCTAACTGAACAAAAAAAAAACAAATCTCGATGTAATTATCTCCATATTACTTTAAGAAAAACAAGTGGCAGAAATCCATCAACGCATCATTTCTAATAACCATACTTTTTGGTGCAAATATGTCAGAAAAAAAATAAAAAATAAAATGCCATTTAAACCACAGAAAGAAACATGGAGTCAGTAGCTTGAGCTGAATGGGCAAAATAAGATTGGTAGCATACTTTCTTTGCTTTGCTTCAATAGGAGTCTAGGTTCCCGGCACATTAGTAGTCCTAGCCAAACAACTGCAAGGAACAAGTCTGACTTCCATTGTGTAGTTTTGATCAGATGATGGACACAGAGGAACCTTGAAGATTTTCAGCAGTCTGGGCACTGTGCTTTAAAGCTTTTCCACATGCCTTTTTCTTTGTTTAAGACTGTAGATGGTGTCTGGATTCAGCAGCAGCAACAAGGCAGTCATGCTTGACACAAACTCTTCCTTTGCTGTAAGAACTCGAATTCAGTCCGTGTGGTGAGATTTTCCCCAAACTCTTAGGTTGCGTATGAAGTACGATGTTAAGGAGGCGGCTTTAGACAGCTGACAGGAGGGGTATATTGGGAGCTGGAATGTGGCTGTTCTTCTGGAAGAGCTACATCAGGACTGGAATGAGAAATTAGCTATTTAAAATACACATCAAAGTAAGAAAGCTGCAAAGAAGAAAACTCTTCATGGAGACAGATGGTCCTCTGCACCTTCATGGTATTTTAACTATTCTGCATATACCTATAATTCTTACATTATATCTGTACATAGAAGACAAACGCCAAGCCATCAGCACCATATTTACAATGAAACCGGAAGAAATTATATGTTGTAAACGTCATTTAAACCATCTTGAGATAGTTGGGAAGGTTGACTTAGCCCAGGGGTGTCAAACTGGCGGCCCGTGGCCTGTATGTGTCATGTGCAGGCCACACCCACCCCAGCTCCGCGAATGGGGAAAACGTCATGAAATGTCACGTGATGGCAACGTGATGAAGTGAGTTTGACACCCATGACTTAGCCCAAACATTCAAAATTAGTTGTTTGTAAATAAGCGTTTTTATTGCTGTTGCTGTTCTAAGAATTCCAAGGAGTAGCAATAATTGTGAAATCAGTTATCAATATTGCAATCAAGATTTGCCAAAAATTATGAAGTGATAATAGCTTTATTTGAAACACTTATTGACATATAGATTTTGGGCAGAAATCTTCAGACCCTGCTCTACCCTGAAATATTTAATGTGTTCTTCAACAAAAAATAAAGCTGTAACATTTTTATTTTTAGAGATGATTTAAATTAGATTAGATGTTAAAGGTACAAAGATGCATGGCAATAAAATGTCTGCTTCAGATTTGTATGTTATACTACTATGCATTTTAAATTATTTGCATTATTTTGGATTTCTGCTTTTCAGAAGGACATTTATGGGTGCAGTGATATCTTCTGGAAGCAATTAAGTCACACATTAATTTTGTTCTGCAAAACTCATTGATTTCTAAGCCTAAATTTATAATTCTGAATTGTGTATCAATGGATTAGGAACTAGTAGAATTGCAGAAATAGATAATTTATGACTAAAAAACTATCTTCACTACAGAGTTGAAATGAAACAAATTCTCAGTGATTAATCCAGTGATCTGATGGACTCTCTTTTATATTTGAAGAAGCATTTTGCCACCAGGACCTCTATTTAGAGCATTTCAAAGTATAGACTATATGTCTGAGTTTAAAAACTTAATTTCTTTTTTTCTATTACATAAAAACATCAAGATGTTAATCCTGCAACATGAAAATAATATACCTTTTGTGGACTGTTTTCTCTCTTTTTTGTCTTTCCTTTTTTTTTCTTGCTTACATAGTAAAAACAATACAAATAGATCTATTGCAGCAAAACTTGCTTCAAGGAAATCTAACCATTTGAAAGGCCAGTTGATATCATGGATCACACCATTTTAAGACTCAGGTGAACAACCCACACGCTGCATGTGAATGACCCTTGTTTCTTCACAAGGTGAAACCTCTGCCCATTTTTTTTTATGATTAGCTCATCACTGGAGGATGGAAATAAACTGCTGCTTTTCAGTAGCTAATATCAATAGGGAACTAGCAGTCTGGAGCAAGTTCCCACTGACTTAATGTTTTTAAAGCATAAAAATAACAATTAGCAAAGCTAAAATTATCATGCCATAAAGTTGCAAGCTTAAAGGAATAGAGAAAAAAAAATTAAAAATGTGTTAGCGTAACAGTTTGCTTTTGTCCAAATGATGAAAGAATGATCTAATGGCACTTTAAAAGCAATCAGATGAAGATAAAAATCTAGGATAGTTATCAAGAACAACAAAACCAGTTAGCCTTTTCAAAATGCATCTTCCAATTTTTCCCCTGATGTACATTTTTGTCCCATAACAACCATGTAATGTGCAGAAATATGGTTTTCTCAAATACAGATATACGGTATTACATAATGGAATTATAGTGATGAAATGTCTGTTAATAATTAATATTTTAGGCCTGCTTAGCAAGTGATTCCAGAGCAATTAGCCATCTTGCCCAACAACCGAAAGACGCTCTGTCCATTCATTATTGAACCAAAAGTTCTTTTGAAAGAACATAATCTTCTCTCAGTATGTCATATCATATCCAAGGTGGGCTAAAGAACCTATTTTGTAGTTCCTTAGAATATTTTGAACAAATATCTTGAAATAATAAACATAACAGCTAAAAAGCCACATACGATCATATAAATACAACGTGTAGAACAATCCAGGGCACACATTCAGGAGACAGAAGTTTTCTGAGGTTGGGCTCCACAAACCTAAAAGCTTGGAAGAATAACCTTTGGTCTGATGACTCATTCAGATTGGGTTTATATAACAACTAAGATTCTGGAAGTTTAATTATGGAATATAATCCTATAGCTATTGTGCAGATAAAAATATAAAGAATTTGCCAAGAATAGGATGTCTTACAATCTACTGTTTTGAAATTCTCAAATGAGACTGTAGCTCAATATCATGCCTAGATATTCTATCAGTTAGATAAATGGCCATGTACATTTGTTTAATAAATAAGTGCATTTTTGAATCAGCAGTATTGTCCACGTTTGGCAGATTAAGCTTCCCTGAGCATTCATGCAAACTTGTAGGAAATAGCTCATGCTAGAAAGTTGTCAGGATTCCAGCAATTGCTCTAATTAAATCATGATTCTCGAGCCAAACTTCATAAACTCGGGCCAGGGAGCGAACACTAGAAGATATATCTTATAGTACTGTATTTTTCAACCAATGGATTCTAGATGTTTTGAATATCAACTTCTATAATTTCTAGGTAAAAATTAGTATGGTGTTAAGAAATAAATACAACAGATAACAATAGATTGAAGACTGCTGTGTAGCTCATCTAAACACTCTATTTTTATTTATTTAATATTTGAATTAATAAATAAGATTAAAGAGAATAAAGATAACTGAATTTTTAGATTACAAAATTTGCGGCTTTTTTGATTGGCTGATCAGGTAGCTGGAAATAGAGAAGAGCCATACTAATTTCCCATAGCAATACTATGTTCCCTGACATAAGGATTTATTATTTTAATCCTGCTCTGGAATACTACCCAGATGATATTTCCAGCTTCAGTTTGAATTTATCCAGTGAAGAGGAACCCACCACCTTTCTGTCATTGGTTCCATATTATTAGGATTTTTTCTCTCTTAGCTTTCAGCTAAAATCCATTTTTCATAACACCACTGTTCCTGGATTGAGTATGTGTGGAATTATGTTTGCTGTTGCGGAATGAAGCAAGCAGTTCTAATTAGGCATACATTTCCTTGGGTACCATTGTAATTCTCCTAGCAAGCTCTGCCAAACAAAATGAATTTGTCCTGACTGCAGTGTTTCGTGTGTGTGTGTGTGTGTGTGTGTGTGTGAGAGAGAGAGAGAGAGAGAGAGGGAGGGAGAGAGAGAGAGAGAGAAGGGGGGAGGGAGGGAAAGAGAGAGAGAAAACTTTTTATGATTTGTTAGCAGAAAGTTTAACAAAGTAATTATTTTTGCTTATAGAAGTAAATATTTGTGACTCAGGGTTGATCTGTGGAAACTTAGGTGCTCTCTGAGCTTGGTGGTTTTCTTGGAGACGTTTCATTACCAAACTTGATAATATGATCAGTGCATTGTTTTTAACTTGTTATAAAAACATATAAAACAGTGAAGTTATGGATCACTGAGGACCGTGCCTATTGCCTCATGTTCCTACATGGTCTAAAATAAAAATTGGAGATATATGTATTTTTTTCTGGCATGAGGTTATTTCTTAAGATTAATGATGGGTGGAAACAAATGAACTGGGCTTTGCCTTCCTTCCGTTTTGGTCTGTTGTCAACAGGAACAAATCATTCTAACTTCTGTTATCATACAAAAGACTGCATCTATGACCCCAGTGGTTAAGATTGGTCAACCTTGATCTAACACTGAGACAGGTTGGTACATCCATGCTCCTTTCAAGCCAACCATTCCAATTATGTCCAGCAGGTAAGTTACAGAACTCTCAGTGAATTTTAAGGATTTCTGTATTACCTAAAAATTATTCAGCCCAGACATTATTTCAGATGAACACTCAAAGTGAATTCATTACACCAGAGAGTAGCTAAATCAGGGGTTTCCAAACTTGGCAACTTTAAGACTTGTGGACTTTAACTCCCAGAATTCTTCAGGCACAAGTCTTAAAGTACACAAGTCTTAAAAATTGCCAAGTTTGGAGACCCCTAAATTAAATAGAGAGGGCCTGAAAGTACAGATAGCTCAGTGGTGGGATTCAAAACTTTTTACTACCGGTTCTGTGGGCGTGGCTTGGTGGGCATGGCCATGTGACTGGGTGGATGTGGCTTTTATTTTATTTTTTTGCTTTTTTGCAGCCCATTTTTGGGGCCTTCTGGGCCTCAGGCAAGCCTCTTGGGGGGTGTTTTTGCTCCCAGAAGGCTCCCCTGGGGCTCAGGAAGAAAAAAAATGGAGCCTGGAGGGAGCACGCAGAACCCACTCCTCGCTCCATTTTGGGGCCTTCTGGGCCTCAGAGGAGCCTCCGGGGGGGTGTTTTGCTCCCAGGAAGTTCCCCTGGGGCTCAGGAAGGCAAAAAAGGGAGAGAGGGGGCTGTGCCCCTCCCTCCATTTTTTGCCTTCCTGGGCCTCAGAAAATCCTCCTGGGCGAAGCAGTAAGACAAGCTAGGGGAATCCCGACACAGCTGATCGTATGAACAGCTGATTGTCAGGAAGGAAAAAAATACCTTAAGGGGCAAGCATCAGGTGGGCGGGGTGAGGGAGCATTGGGTGGGCGGGGCAAGTAGCGACCGGGTCACGGGTGTGGCCAGCCAGAACTTACTACTGGTTCGGCGACCCACACCAAATTCTTGCTACCAGTTCGCGTGAACCAGTGCGAACCGGCTGAATATCACCACTGACTGGTGGCACAATGTATTTATTTAGGGTATGGCATGTGTAGCCAGGGATCACTGAGGGTGGCTGGCTGCCTCTGTGAAAGGAATTTTTTTAGGCGGTGTTATCTTTACCCGTGGGACGCCTGAATGCGGGTAGGCAATTGGGGGAGGTTCCTTTCTTGTCCCTCCGCAGTTTATTCGCTCACGGGAATCGAGCCGCCGAGCTGTTGACCTCAGCGGTGTGCAGCAGGCCCAGCGTCTTACCACGTGAGCCACCGTGGCCCCTGGGGGCACAATTAATTGCTTATTATAGAAACACAATACACTAGATGATACAAAATAATGGGGTTGCATCTTATACGTAGATGGGGCTTGGATTTTAAGGCTTTTGAGGGGTCCAGGTTTTCTTTAAATAAAACAAATGTTAATCCCATTTTAAGCTTAGCTTGTGGTTCACCAGTCTTTCCTATTTCAGAACTGACACACAACTGAATTTTAGTGGTGCTTCCATCTGAGGCTTTAGGAAGCACAAAAAAGGGGCTTTCATTTTCCACTTCAGTTCTAACGATATAGCAATACAGGTAGTCCTCAAAGTATGACCACAATTGAGCCCAAAATTTCTGTTGTAAAGTGAGACATTTGTTAGTGATTTTTGCCCCCTTTTATGGCCTTTCTTGCCACAGTTGTTAAGTGAATCATTGCAGTTGGTTGTTAAGTGAATATGGCTTTCCCAATGACCTGCTTGTCAGAAGGTCGTAAAAGGTGATCACATGACCTTGGGACACAGCAATGGTTATAAATATGAACCAGTTGCCAATCATCTGAATTTTGATCACATGATAATGGGGGGGCTGCAAAGATTGTAACTTTGAAAAATGGTTATAAGTCACATTTTTAAGTGCCCTTATAACTTTGAACGGTCACTAAGTGAACTATTGTAAGTTGAAAAGTATCTGTAGTACATTTATATGTCATGCTCAGATCTAGATGTGCCTACCAATTTAAAGCCATCACAAGGAATCCAGTTCCAGCCAAAGCCCAGAGGAGACAAGAGCAATTGGATTAATCTTTTCATCCCATGTTGTTTGGGAACAAACAAGCCCTTGAGAATTTTTATCAGTTCTTTATTTTGGCCAGGGCAACTGGAAAAGCCAGCATCCTTTCTCATGGTGCAATCCCTACCTGGTTCTTTCCATGTTTGCTTTTGTGTTATGCAAATAGGAATCTGCCTAATACCATCTCAGACTGGTCTATCTAATCTAAACCATACCTATTCCGACTCTCAATAGCTTTTCACAATTTCACACGCTCAGCTCTATCGAGAAAGGATAAGCCTAGAACTTAGAACCTTCTCACTCAGAGCATCTTGAGGGGTCCTCGGTTGTTGTTGTTTTTTTGCAAACATGCTGATGACGTTACCTAGTTTGGGTAATGAAATATCTACAAGGAAACGAACAAGCTCAGAGAACACCAAGGACCACACAGTTCAACCCTGACCTACAAATGTTCTCCTTTATTGACACAACATCTCCTTTTCTATTTTATTATAGTCCTTCCTACAAAGGAAGGAAGAATACAAAATCCAAAAGATGCTGTCAGAGGCAACTCAAGGAGCTGATCAGAGTGGTATTTATTGCCTATTGATAGGAATCTTGTCAGACAAATGTACTTTCTACAGAACTACTAAATAAACCCTGTGGAACTTTGGGAAGAGGCTAGCCAACCCTTTCACTGGTCAGCTCAGCTCCAGATTCACCCCAGATGCTACTTAAATAGCTTCCTAAGTTAAACATTTATTTAATGATCTAATCCAGTGTTTCTCAACATTGGCGATGTTCGGATCTGTGGACTTCAACTCCCAGAATTCTCCAGGCAGCCTTCCTGTGGAATTCTGGGAGTTAAGTCCACACATCTGAAAATGGTCAAGGTTGAGAAACATGGATCTTGTAGATTCCTGTTTGCTTACTTAGCAGGGTTTCTTTCTTTAAAAACACACACATTTTTGCCTAGGCTTTTACATATAGTCTTCAACTTACAACCATTCATCTAGCAACTGCTCAAAGTAATAAAGGCACTGAAAAAAGTGACTGAACACTGGTCTTTGTATTTATGACCATTGCAGCATCTCCATGATCATGTGACCAAAATTCAGTTGCTTGGCAATCTACATGTATTTACAACAGTTGCAGTGTTCCAGGGTCATGAGATCACCATTTGAGACCTTCCCACTTGGCTACTGGTAAGCAAAGTCCCTGGGGGAATCCAGATTAATTTAAACACCACGTAATTCATTTAAACAACTGTAGTTATTCATTTAACAACTGTGGCAAAAAAGCTCATAAAATAGGGTGCAAGTCACTTAACAATTACCTTGCTTATCAACAAGAAATTCTGGTCCCAATTTGGTCATAAGTTGAAGACTACCTATAATTTCTTTGCTACCCACACGTTTGTAGACTGAACAACATCTTTGGATTTGATAGTCTGCATGGGATGGTTGTAGTGGTGCAGGCAAATCTGGCTTAAGTTTTGCAAATTTATCTATTGTTCAGTGGTCCTTTCTTCTCTAAATATGACATATGAATGCATATTGTTGCATGATTCCTGCAGTCATGCAGGCACGATTAACTGTTTGGACATGGTAGCATAGGTAATCTTTCCACATCAATTACAAAAGTTTAAATTTGATTCAATTTTAATTTGGTTTGTTTGTTTGTTTGTTTTAAAGGCAGATAAGGGTCTGCCAGATAGCAGATAGAGTAGAAATTAGGGTTGGAGACAGATGCAAAGGAAATGGGGTGATGAGAATCTGACTATAGCATGCAGAGAAAGCCAAAAGGTGAAGAAAAGAGATTTAGCAGAACATTACCTGACAGTCTGACAGCGTTGCCTCCTGGTTAGTTGTGAGCCGTGTGGCGGTAGTGAGGCAGCAGGCTGCTGACAATCTACAAGAGACTGATAAATTAGGGATATATACAAAGAGATGACACAAAAGGTTAGTAAGTAATAAACACACAAGGCAGGTGGTGGAAGAGATTTAGTGAGGAATGCTGCTCTAAGTCAAGAGGATTAAACGGTTAAAGCATTGATAAATGCTGACAGAAACACTCAACTGTTTCAAAATCTTATTTTAAAGATATCCCTCACTTTCTCTGAGTTAACAGCCTAAAAACATTGGGTAGGTTCACAGTATACTCTCAAAGATCACTTGTTAATCTAAATGGTGTCTTCTATTGCCTTGCTAAATCCTCAAATAGGTATGGGATACAGATGAATGGAAAGAAAATTGCTCCTTGACAATGATCATTTGGGTATTGACTTCAGTTTAGAAACTGGTTTTGCTTCTCTCATTGCAAAATCTAGTAGAAAAAATGGGTATACTTGGATTGAAAAAAAACCATGAAATAATTTATATTGGGGCAAAGGGACTGTGATTAATTTCAGCTATACTTGAATCAGTCTATCAATAAATATATTTCTTCCAGGTTCCTAATCAATATCTCAATTAGCCATAAGTATATTTTTTTTGCTTGGTGTTAAGCATATCCAAGCACTGTCGTATTCTGTGAAGATCTACACTGCCCTCCTATGGTATATATGTGGTATGCCTGTTAAAGCAAATTATGATGATAAAATAGGATGCAGTGGAGTTTTAAATGACCTTGACGAAAAAAGTGAATAATTCCCTGAGAAAAGTAATTTATATTTAAGATTTGTAACTGTAATTATAATTATATACTGAATGCCTGAAGAAAAAACACAGCACATTTAAAATGATAAAAATGTTTCATCATCTGAACTCGGTACTCAGTTAAAGAACTTGGAAATGAGAGAATTTCCCTCAGAAAAAAATCTTATTTACTTTAAAAAGTGTAATTGCATTCAAGAATTCAGATGGATGTGTTCGACCAGCTTTATCTTACTAAGTTCTAGAGCAGTTAGAGAACAATCTACATGGCGTACAAAAGGCAATTCATTTATGATTCTTATTTCTACTACTTTTTTAAAAGGAGCATTTAAAAGCAAGCTCCAGTGTTTTAGAAAAAAAATCTATAAATAGTGGTATTTTATATATATTAGGACTCTTATCAGCAATGTGAGAAGGTTTTTCAAAAGGATTTCAATGATTTTAGAATCTTCTTATAGTTTGACTGCTGGAAGATTATTTGAATTTGTAAATTGATATAAATGGTGAATATATATATATATATATATTCACCATTTATTAATACATATTAAAGACAGTGGAGTTCTTACAATCTCATAATGCCAGGAATCATCTCTAAAGTTATGGGGTGTTTTTTTTCCAATGGAGCTGAAGTTATTCTGAAACCTATGAATAAGCATCAGCCTGCCTCTTGGAACCTAGATCCCAGCTGTCAAATAAGGAAAAAAATGATATAAAAACATAAAAGGGCTTTGCAAGTGCTAGGAGAGCCTTTGCCCAACTTCATGTTGTGTGCCAGTTGCACCGTTTCTTGGATTGTGAGGCCCTGTGCACAATCATTCATGACCTGGTCATCTGGCTGAATTACTGCAACATGCTCTACATACCCTTAAAGAATATTCGGAAACTACAACTGATTATAGACTGTAGTGGCACAGTCAGTTCGGGAGGCCCCTCAGGTGGCACATGTCATACCACTGTTACATGAGATGCATTGGCTGCCAGTTTGCTTCTAGTTCGAGTTCAAGGTGTTGGTTATCACCTTTAGAGCCCTTTATGACATGGGTCCATGGTATCTGATGAACTGCCTTATTCCAATGGGACTAACCACCATATTTGTTCCAACAAACAGGGCCTACTTCAGACCCCATCGGTCAAATAATTTCACCTAGTGGCGGTTCAGGAGATGAGCCTTTTCTGCTATGGCTCATTCCTGCCCTCTGGAATGTTCTCCTGTCAGAGATCTGGGCTGTCATAACGCGTGAGCCCGATGGGCACTTGCCCATGGGCTCCACGAACTTAGGGGCCCCATACTAATCTGTGTATGTTAACCGTTCAATGCATATATATCATATAAATACATATTTATTACATTTTACTGTTTTTTATTAATATTAACATGCAAATATATGCTTAATTTTATCAACCATTTACATTTTTATTCCTGTGAGTAGTTGTCATAGGGGCCCCAGTACACTGCTTTGTCCTGGCCCCATAATGCTGTTAAGATGGCCCTGTCAGAGGTGAGATTTGCCCCCATCTGGAACAGCCTAAAATTTGGCTCTACTGCTTGGCCTAGGACCCCAAAAGGGGTGTGTTACATTGGGGGTGGCTGATAGGTGAAGATGCTCACCCCCAGGCTGCCAGTCTTGGTTCTTCACTTTTAATCTTTTTTTTTTTTTTAGAATTTTTAACTTTTTATTATCTTGTAAGCCGCAGCTCCTGTACTAGTGAGATAGGTGGCCTTGCAATTTTATAAATATGGACCTATTCTTATAAGAACCTATCATTTATAAACTTCTTTGAAGTTCTCTGTTTCTTTAACTTAGGTTCAGTATAATTTGAATCCATTTCCACACTCCCACAAATCATAAGAAATTCATACAAAAGGCATTAAAACTTCCCTCCACAGATTATATCCTGTTGCCTGAAAGATGGGTGTGTCTTTATTTCTGCTGTCAACAAAGCTAAAGTTTTACATTCTGAGTAATTTTCTAGCTACTTCATATTGGCCCAGTTTGTTGAATCAAAATATAATGAATTGGACTGTGTACTTGTGTTTAATAAATGTGTGTATATAATTTATGTGTGTATATATATATACCGTGTTTCTCATATAATAAGGCCGGGTCTTATTTTTTTTTGAGCCCCGAAAAAATGGCTAGGTCATCTTTTCGGGGGGTGACTTAATTCCCCCCCCCCTGCATCTTCGGGCAGGCGGCGACAGCTTAGATGTTGACCTCGGCGTTGGTGGGGCACTTCGTATCGGGTTCAACGCAGGCAGCACCATATCCGGGTGTGCAACAAAAGTACTTCCTAACGGCAAAACCCCCCCCACCATTCCCCCCCATTTCGCATGTTTCGCATGTTTTTATATAGGCCTTAATTTGGGGGGAGGGGCTTAATTTCATTTCATGCCTATAAAACATGCTGGGTCTTCCTATTGGGGGAGGCCGTACTGTTGGAGAAACAGGGTATATATAATTTATATTTGTGTGTCTTTGTGATAGGTATGTAGTGTGTGTGTGTGTGTGTGTGTGTGTGTGTGTGTGTGTGTGTAATTTAAAGATGTTCCTAATTTTCCCAGCAGCTTCCTCAAATTCATCCTTTCACTTTTGTGGATTGTCACACTGGATAAAATAATATGTGATGTATTTGGTTTTAGCTTATTGTGATAAGTTGTAAACTAAATCTTAGTACAATATATGAACCCAGGCAATATGTGCATGGTTTTATAAACTGGGTTCACACATATTTGATACTGTACTTTAATCGAGGATTAAGGGATTGCAATAACCCATAATTGGAGGGCTCACAAAACATGCAAAACTAAAGTCAGACAAACCATATTATAGTGGGTTGTGCAAACCAGCTTAAACCTTAAGTCTTCTACCTGACATTTCATCCACATCAAAGTCTCAAGGTGGCGCCAAGGAATGACTCCATACATATTGTAACAGATAGCTCCATAGTACATCAAGTACCTTGGATCACCTTCTGACTTGCTGACATGCATTTGTTAAGTAGCAAGTGCTTTTAGGAGGAGTTTAACTTCACTGCCCAGTTTATCACATGAAAGTGTGAATCGGAAGAAATTTAAATGAGACATATCTATTGCTGAACATTTATTTGTTCAATCTAACCAGCATGGCAGCAACATTCCTTAACTTTTAACAGTAAGGATCAGAGAGTAATAGCACATGCCATGTTTCACTGTGGCAGCACTAAGAGACTATATTGTTCAGGATTCAATTTTCTTTCTGTTTTTTCCCCATATTTGCCATGTATCTTTTTTCCCAGCAATTCTACTTCTTCATTAGAAAGGATGGAAATGCCACCTAGGATAGGTGACTCGGTTCATCTGCTTCTTCATTAGATATTGAATATTGAATAATTAAAGCCTTCTCAAACAAAGCATCCCAACAGATGCTATCTATGTTTTCCAAACCACAGCAAATACAATTAATAACATGCTGGGATCACAGCAGAAGAAAAATGACCAAGATGAGGAGATGCAAAATCCTTTCTCAGAACAAGTTAGAGTTCCTTTCTGCATTATTCCTATTTTCTTTTACAGAAATAAGAGTCAAACTGTGATGCCCTTCGCAATGTTTTTAACACTTAGCTCAATTATGCTGGAAGTCATTACATGACTTAATAATGTTATTCAAAGAAAATATGTTGAAGCACATTGTATGCTTTTACACTTGCCTCATTTCCATTCCTAACACACAGACTGCTATCCTATATAGTTGGTTATCAAGATCAGGTTGCATGACTAAGTCATCATGCATTAAGACCACAAATGATGCACAAACACGAGAAACACTTCAAGGTTACAACAAAAGGTTGCACTGTGTCCTCTTTGTCTCATCATCTAACTAATTGCTCATAGTCAGTCTTCTCTTGACCTGGAAGGATAAACAGGATATTCTACTTATCTTTCTATTTTTGTTTGTTACAGTTAAGATCTTAACCTTCTATGACTTCTAAAGGTCCCCGAGGATGCAAATGTGAATGTTTTATGAACAGTTAATATTTTTCCTCCTGTTTCTTGATAAACCTAGTGATGGTCACCTCAATTTATTGCTTAAAATGTCAAGTCATATTAAACCAAAAATCCATCTAATACAGGGGTGTCAAACTGGCAGTGTCATGGCGGTGTCACGTGATGTATCGGGTCTTTTTCCCCCTTTGCTAAACTTGGCAGGGGTGGGGCCAGCACATGACACATCCGGGCCACGGGCCACACACTCCTGATCTAATACAACACTTTCA